ATTGGGGAATTGGGGAAGGGGAACAGCCAAGTTGTTGTCCTTCAGTCTTAGTTGTGGAGGGCGCAGCTAGCTCAGCTCCAAGTCCAGTTGCCATCTGGACGCCTATTGGCAGCTCGTGGCCGCTCAGCTCAAGGTGCCACGTTCAATCTTAGTTGCGGGTGGGCGTAGCCCACCATCCCATGCAGGAGTTGAACCAGCAACCTTGTTGTTAGGAGCACATGCTCTCACCAGCTAAGCCATCCTGCCACCTGTTGGCAGCTCAGCAGCAGCTCAGTTCGGGCACAGCTCACTGGCCCATGTGGGAATCGAACCGGTGACCCTGTTGCTCAGAGCTCGCACTCTTAACCAACTGAGCCACTCGGCCGGCCCCAAAATTCTTTTTTTAAGGTGGAACAAACTAGAGGATCTAGAAATGCTTTGGAGGAAGCAAGGACGGAGAAGAGCTGAAGATCCAGGAAAGAAGGTCAGATGGCGCCTGCAGTCAGAGGTTGGGGCCTGGAGCCCAGCACCTGCCCTCTAACAGGACCCAAGGGTGGCAATGCCCGCAGCTCCTCAGCCCATCCCTCCACGGAGGTCAAGAGGGCCACAGGGTCCACATGCTTTCCTGCCTCCAGCCCGCCTCTGACAAGGGTCACCAGGCACCCAGAAGTCAGTTGGCACTGAGAACAGACCCCTGCCCTACGCCGGGCAGCGCTCACAGGCTGGCCACCACCTCCAGTTGGAACCTCCAGTGAGAACTGGCCTCCCTGTGCCCTCGGCCCCGTTTATGTGGAGCACTGAGCAGCCCGCGTCGCCCGCAGGCCTTGGGTTCTAACTCCCACCGCACCTACCTCCCTCCCTGCCGTGCTCTCAATAGCACTTACCAACGTCTGACACAAATGTGTTACTGGGCTGTCTCCCCTCACTAGAATATAAGCTCTGTGAAAACAGACACTCATCTATTAAGTTCACTGCTGGGTCCCCAGAGCAGTTCCTGGCACCCAGAAGCAGCACGGCACATACATGCATACAACTTGAATGAATGAATGAATACACGAGCTAACAAATATAGGAATGGATGAGCAAACCCTTTCTTTGGCTAGTCACTGTGCTGAGAGCTTTACTGTACACGACCCCAGCAGTTGGGGGTACCATTACCCCCATTTTACAGTGACAACCACAGCCTAGAGAAAGGGAGTCACCTCAGGTGCTGGCCTGTGTGATCCCAGAACCGCCTCCCAACCACTCCACCCAGCTGTGGCTGAAAGAAGTGGCCACGGTGGGTGTCGTGGTTCTGGTGATGGGAGCACCTACCTGCTGCTAGAATAGCTCTGGCAAGTGGGGGGCAAGTGGGGGGAAGTGTGTCAGGAGGGACAGGAAAACAGGGTTTGGAGGAGAAGGGAGAAGTTTTGAGATGGTTTCTATGGAGAGTGGGAGAATGAGGTGACACGGAACGTGGCAGGGCTGCTGGGTGGTGGTGAGGGGGTGACGGGATTTCGGTGTGCCACATATCTGTAAATCCACATATCTTATCTTCCCCATGGATCTGCCCCAGGGCTGTGGGGGGATCATTTTGCCAAGCGCTTTGGAAAGGACCAGAAGCGAGCCCTCAGGGAAGGGGAGGTGGGTGCCTCAGCTGGGAAGGAAGGAGCGGGGTTCAGGCCTGCCCGTGTCAGCGTTCGCAGTCTGCTCTCGGGCGCGTTCCCTTCCCTTCTCTGGGCCTCCATTCCTCACTGTACAATGGAAGGAGTAATGCCCGACTCACAGGGTGGGGAGGGTTCCACAGAATACTCATGCGGAAAAGACAAATGAACGAACAGTAGGTGATTATCACTAAGGTGGCAATTCTCGTGTGACAAATGATTTCCATTTGTTCTGTTCAAATCCAAGAGGATACAGGCTGGTTCATCCACTGCCAGTTCCCCAGTGCCTGGCACAATGTGAGGACATGCGAGACATTTTATAGAAATCAGCTACACTGAATTAAAGTTTCTGTCTCATGAACTGGCATCTAATTAGGACACGGTTCAAAAGGGACAAACAGAACTGTACCTATTACAATTGGATTTTGCATCGGGGAAGAAAACAGACTCGGTTTCTCCACCACCTTCTTAAAAGTTCAGAGAAAGCATTAAGGACACTTAATGTCAAGTGAACTTAACACATAGTCGAGGAAGTGTGTGCAGCTGACGCGCGTTGTGTATTTGCTGTGCTGAGGCCAGGGGACGATGAGCAGCTACTTTAGAAAGTAACTCGAGCATCTTCTCTGGATGCCCGTGACCGTGCAGCTGCTTCGGGGTGCTGGGAGACATTACCTGTGGACTCGAGGTCCCCGACCGGGGCTCGATGGCCAGCCCCAGGGTGATCCCGCCAGCCAAGGCTTTCTTCAAGCTCTCCTTGACCTCCGTCAGCTCAAGCTCTAGGTTGACACGCTCCGTTTCCTTCTGCTTACACTCCTCCTCCAGCGTCTTCAGCTTCTCCTCCAGGATCAGCTGGGTCTTCCTGCCTGAAAGCCCAGAGAACAGTGTGGCTCCAACCACAGGCAAAGGTCACAGCACCAGAGGGCAGACACTTGGTGATCCTACGAGGGGCTCTGTAAGAGTTTTGGGGCTGAGCTCCCCCGACTTGAGTCCTTCCTACGAAACTCACATTCAGCTGTCCTTTAAAGGAACAAAGCCCTTTTCTCACCATGTGCCTTGGCTGCAGCTGGGAGAATATGGACCAGGAAGCAGGAAACCTGATTCTCACAAATCCCAAGAGTTCTGGGCCTGGGCCTCAATATTCTCATTTTAACATGTGGAATTAGGTTTGATGCCCGGCCCGAGCTGAGCTGCCAACAGGTGGCAGGATGGCTCAACTAAAAAAAAAAAAAAAAAAAGCCTGAACTAAAATGTGGAATTAAACTGTATGGCTTCCAAAGGTGTCACTGACTTGGGAAGTCTGGGTATTTTTCGGTCCTAATTCTTCTGCCACTTCCTTGTGAGTCCCCTTCTCTGCCCCTGTGGTCAAACTACAACCCAGCCTGTCCTCCACAGAACATGGCCCATATCGCTTCAAGTTCACCTGCTCCATTTAGTTTATGTGAAATAGTCAGAGTGGCACAGGAAGGCAAGTGAGGCACCCATTGGACAGATAAAAAAACCGATTCCAAGCGACTAAGCAGCTGGCGCCCATGGCCCTGGTCTAGTGCTCAAGGCATGGGACATTCTTTCCTTTCGAGGCCCAATGCTGCTGAGATCTCTGTATCTTCACTGCCCTGCTCCTGGACAGTTCTCTGGCTTAGCTCTGACTCCTCTCAGGTAGCCCTGGAGATGTCACATCCCGCCTCCTCTCACAGCTTATCTCTGATCTGCTCAGCCAACACCTGCCTCCCATTCTTTAAACTCCAAAAGCACTTCCTGTCACAAAACTCATTTCAGCACAAACTCAGAAAGGCTCAAACTCTGTGCCCCTGCACGCCACTTCCTTCCTGCACGGCAGCCACCTGAGAGCAGACCTTGTCCACTGGACTGGCCGTTCTCCAAACCAGCCCTCCTGCCCTGCCACTCCCACTCCAAGCTCACAGCATGGAAATCTAGAGTCAGTTCTGCCCCAGGGTAAGAACAAGTGTGGAGCCCAGGCCTATGTATTTCTCCAGGGCCAGCAACACACACCTCTTCCTGCCGGCGAGAATAAGTCTGAGGCAGGTAGTGCCCCGGTCCTGACTCGGTTCCCCCATGACTGCTGGCAGGTACGCTCAGCTCCTCTCTGGGGGTTGTTGCCACTGGCCTGGCCTCTTCCCCACCTCCCTTCGAAGAACTCAGACACTGCCTGCTCTCAGCAGTCCCGTCTCAGGGAATGGAGGGCTGCTTCTACCCATCCAGACACCTCTCTGTGGGCTTGTGAACGTGACCTGCCCTGTGGGCCGTTCCTGCTGAGAAACCCAGCTGCCTCAGAGCACACAGTGCTCAGGCTCCAGTGTGCCCCGACAACCCCTGCGGTCAGCACTGGAGGCCGGGACAGCTCCCGGCACCTCCCAGCCTTAGCGGCAGGGCGAGGGCCAGCTCTGGACTGCTGCCTGTTCCAGCATTCCGTCACCTTGGCCCTGCCCTGCACTTACCAGCAACGCTTCCAGGCTCCCAGAAACACTGCGCTGAATGAGGGCGTCTTATGAAGACGAGAGCCTGCTGAGCTCCAGGCCCAGCGGGCAGAGGAGAGGCAGTTTAGACTCTGACATGAGTGGGCGCCTCTTACCTGCGTTCACTTCAATGGCAGCCCTCAGGTCTCGCCTCTCTTTCCGGAGCTGGGCCAGCCTGTTCCGCAGGCCTTCCTTCCTCCTCAGCAGTTCCTCTTCCTTGGACTGCAGTCGCTTGGCATCTGCTTCGACCCGGTTCTTGCCATACTTATACTGGTCAGCATCTTAAGAAAAAAAAGCAGCAGTGAGAAGTCAGGTTTAACCAAGAAGATATTAGGGGATTCATAACGCTGACTCAATCAGCCAACTTGGCAAAATGACTCAAAGCTAGTGCTTTTCGCTAATTCAATAAGAGAAAGAACAGGACCAGGTTGAACTAAATAGAAAAGTGACTAGTTCAAATGATCCGATACACCTTGAAACAAATTTTTAAAATGAAAATAGAACATTAGGAAATTCCTTTAATTCTCTTCCCTTTCAGGCATGCAACTTAGGTTGACAGTGAACATTCTATAACCTGAAAAGAAAGAAGGATATCAATATCAAAAGTCGTCTCTGGGTTTGTGTAGTTGTCTGTTTTCTTCAAAACACATCCATAACACCGTCACATCTGACCCTGCGACTCCGCTGTCTGCTTATGCTAATGTGATGGCAGCTACATCCGCTGCTCTGGGATGGTGCCTGGTGAGGACTGAGCATGCGTGAAGTACCAGCTGGTGAACAGATGAACAAATGAGATAGTGAAGAGGCAACACAGAGTGGGGTCTGCAGCTCGACCCTCTAGGTTTGAATCCCTGTCGCTGTATGACCTTGAACAAGGTACTTAATCTCCCTGTGCCTCAGTTGCTCATCTATGAAATGGGAATAACTCAATGGGTTATTAAGAGGATTAAGTGAATATTTATAAAGCACTCAGCACAAACACAAAATGAGCACTCCATAAATGCTCAGTAAATAAAATGAGGGAGTGAATGAAGAGGAAACCAGTCTTAGGGAAACTGGAGGGCTCTGGCTAACATGCACATGACATTTGAATCCCGTGCCTGTGTGCTTCTCCTCTAATTATGCTGCCTTTGATAACAGTAACTTAGGAAATGCCTCTGTGGAAATACACTGGAGACAGGAAGTGATGGGGAGGCCGACAAGGCTGACCCGGGCCACCGTTTTTGAAGCCTCCAGTGTCCCCCACCACTTCCGATGGCTAACCGCTCGGACCTGACTGCAGCTCAAAGGACTCCCAGCCTTCACACATGCAGCTTCTTCACATTCCACAGCGCACGCCGATTATTTATCTGCACGTCCGACTGCCTTGCTAGACTGGAAACGTTAGTAGGGTATGGAGGTGGCAAAATGGTTAATAATGAAGGCCGTGGACCAGGCAGGTGGCTATGATTCTAGGCAAGCAATTCCTCTCCCTAAGCCTCTACTCCCCCGGCTATAAAGCACATTCGATAAGACCTGCCCCGTAGGTTTTAAAAAAGTCGATCTATGTACCTAAAACCCATCTCACAGAACCATCTGACACCTGAGACGTGGTGGACTCGCCCTGGCAGCTCTCATCACTGTCCGTGATAACACAGGCCCCAGAGCCCTGTGCACGCAGAGGCAGTGGGGAGCCCCGGGCAGCACTGCTCCTAACTGCCGAGTGCATCACTCCTGCAGTGCAAACCACAGGGACTGCAATGAGACACTGCACTGATGAGGGCAGGTGTGAGTCACCACTCCCCACCATCTAGCCCTTCCGAAGAAACAACACGCACACAGGCCATATTAAAGGCACCGCCGCCTGAGCTGCCCAAACCAACCAGCTGAAACCAAAGCACTGCTCTGTGGCTCAGGGTCAGGAGGTTCTGCAAACCGCAGTCAAAACTCTAGTCACTTATCTCTGAACTATGACGTTTCCCCGACAAACCTGTATGCAATAACCTATAAATTTCCCCATCATTTGGTCCCCTCGCAATAAACCCCATCCCGCCTATAACGCAACTGGCTGAATTCAGCAAAAACACAGAATGCAATTATTTCTCTATTTTGTCACCATTAGATGTCACCACAGTTAATAAAAATTCCCACCAGAAAGTCTCATAAAATAAAGGAATGAATAAATCATCTAGGAAACAAAATCGGCCAGGCACCGAGAGCGTCGCACGGGTCTGGGCCGATCCCGCCTCCCACGTGAATGACACTAACGTTTTAAGTGAATAGAAACACACCCGACTGCGTTAGGAAATGAGCTTTGCCAAAAAGAAAAGGTCCCGATAAGTAAGCACAATAAACAAATAATGATAAACAGGGATTTGGCCCAATGGCTCCCAACCTACCTGCTTGCAAGGTGCATTGGAGAAGCACCGCAGAGACAAGTTTATGTGAAGAACAGACAAGTGTCCTTGGGGCAGAAGCAGCCTCCATTGCTGAGGCTGGCCCAGCCTCCCCGCCCCAGTGTGCTCTGACTGTGAAATTAAATCGGCGCACACGGGGGTCAGCTAGTGTCGGGGGTCAGAGGGCGCTCACTGGAGCCAGCTGGCCTCATGCTCACTCATTCACACGCACGCTGCTCTTCCAGCCACACAGAGCCAGGGGCAGGAAGTACAGACACGGCCTCCCACACGATCCTGACACGCTCACCATGTCCAACTCACATCTCCCTGCCCTGGAAAACTTCCCTGCCAGCCCAGACCACAGGGAGCTGCTGAGTCTTGTAAGGGCCTGTGCTTCAGCGGGTCCACTGTGTGTCCGCGGTGTGCTTCTCTGCCCGACGGAAGCACCTACTCTGTCTTCTCTTTGCAACCCACCACTGTCTTCTCTTTGCAACCCACCAACAAGCTGAGCGCCTTGCATGGGCACGTGCCACCTGGCTGCCAAGCGGAGAGGCGCCCAGCATCACCAGGCTGAAGAGACACCAACATGTCCGATGACAGCGTCGCCCTAGCTTCATCCACCTGGAGATAAGGAAGCGTGTCTCACTGCTCCTCTGCTTGGTTAGCCCCTGCCAGCTTCGGACGAAACCTGGTGCCCACTCTGGGTCTGTTAGTCCCCCGCTGTGAGCCCCGGCAAAGCCACTAAATCACTCAGGGGTTATTTCCACGTTTGTACAGTGGGGTGGATGACAACACCTACCCTTATGAGGTGGCTCTGAGAATGACGCAGGAGGGCATGGAGACGATATGGCAGTGCGGGACCAGGGTCCCTTAGAAATCCGTATTTCTCTCGTGCTCTGGAGTCCGTTATTACCTGGATCATTTCATCATAGAAACCAAGGTAGCCACTCGTGTACATCTAACACATGGAAGCCGAGTTTAGAGCATTTAAGTGACTCGACTGAAGTTACTAAGTCCCCAACAGATGGGGACACAAGCCCAGGGCCCCCGCGGCTATACTGCTGCCTGCACCTACCGCTGCCTCACGATCAAATGCGCTTAACCAGTTCCACAGTTAACAAGCCAGCTCTGCTTTTCTTTCATATACAGACTCGTAAAGGCTGGGTAAGAAGCATTGCTGTTCTTCCACCCAGCAAATGAGGGTGACGCTGCTCCAGGCCCATCAAGCCCGCTGACCCCCAACCCCGGCCTTCTCGATCTGAGCGAGGAGGAGGGAAGACGGCTCTTACAGCCCAACTCCGCAAACCGTAGCTACAACTAGGACGCGACAAGCCAAGTGACACCCTTACTTGAAGGTGTGCGCTTCACGCTGGCTGCCGAATCCGCTTTCTTCTGCTGGCTGCTCAGAGCCTTTCCTTTTCCTGTAACTCCATTGGAGGCTACTGGGGGCTTTTTACCCTTCAACTGTTGAAATAAACATATGAGAAAATTAAAAACAAACAATCAAAAAAATCTTTTTTTTTTTTTTTTTTGCAGTAACTTGTTTCGGTCTCTGACTCTAAGTAGCATCTAGCATAGACAGAAAAACATGAGGGTAGAAAACCAATCTGGTTCCCACACACTGGGCTGCTGTGACCTCCCTGGACTGGCTAAGAGGTTCCAGCACTGAGGGACTGAGGATGTCGTCAGCTGGCATGCAGTAAAAGCTGTGTATTTCTGCTGGGAGATCGCCACTGCTTGTCCGGACACCGGCACAGGCAGTGGGGTACTGAGCGACTGGGCTGAGATCGCTGGAACTCGGTTTCTGACAAACAGCGTTTCTTTTGTGGGAACGCTCTTTCGGGGGGCAGCATGACTGTGCAATCACTTCCTGCTTCCAGCGCGTCTAAGCTGCCTGACGTCCTAATGGGATCAATAACTACCTTTTGATTCACTGACAGCAGCTGCGGAAGCAAGAGACTCATGATATAGAGACAGTTTGAACTAAATTTGGACCAACCACAGGTGTTTAAAAAAAGTCAGTAGTACCCCTACTTCTTGGATTGCTGTCTTTTGCTCAAGTGCAGGCGTGTGCCTTAGCTGTTGTGACGCTTTCGGCTGGAGGGCAAAGGCTAACTCCAGGTTAGGCTTTTCCACCCCCTCCTGCCAAGGGGCCCGTGTTTGGAAGGTATTAGGGCCTAGCTTCAAATGCTGGCTCTGTCACCTAGGAGCGGCTGAGCGAGTCACTGACACTTTCTGAGCCTCCATTTGCTTAGCAAACTGCCAGACTTTTGACATCAGGACTCAGAAACACTACATAGAGGCTCCCATGCCTGAGCACACATGGGTCTGGGCCCCTCGACTCACCAAAGAGACTTTCCAGAGCTGGTATCTGAACAACTATTATTAAAAATCAAAAACAAATTGCTGTATGATCTGAAATTCTAGGATCTTTCGGGCATTCATTATTTTTTTAAGAGTACCCCAAAAATAGAGGAAAAAAAATCTAAAATGTGCCCGTCTGTTTTGTGTGTGTAAAGCATTCTTACATATGATGTATAGATCTCTATTTAACATATAAAAAAATTCTTAGGTTGAAAATACATGAAAACACAAAGTTAGTCTTTACATTGAACTGTCATAGCTTGCCATAAATATGAGGTATGGGACGAGCAACAGTTCAATATCAAGGTTACTTATCATTCAGTGATCAAATGACAATCCCTAATCCTTATTACTTGGTTTTAGGGAGCACGCTTTTATACTCATTATGGAAAAGTACCACAGTAATCTGAACAATCCTACTTAATGTTTAAAGATGAAAAAGCAGTTGCTACATGGAGTCCACCATTCCTCACTGACATGTAATGAGAAAATGAAAAAAAAATGCAGCTCAATAATCTCCTGAAAAGTCTTGCTGTCCCTGTCCTCTTTACAATCTTTGCCTTTAGATGACATAATTCACAAAATTCACTGGGGAGTTTTCCAAGAACGGAAAGAGAGCCAGATGCAGGTAATGAAATATGGCTTAAACCATGAACCAGTTAGGAATATTAATCAGTTCCTAGGTGGCCAAACGTTGATTGCACTTGCAACTTATATCCTGGCTGGGGGAAAATAAATCATGCTTTACCCTTGATGAGCCTCACCTACTACCCGTTGGTGTCATTGCAAAACTGTAAGAGGACCATGACTCAAAGAGTGCTCTAGAGGGTGACAGAACACGATGCTGTACCTGGGAGCCGAGCCCGAGGGACGCCCTCCCCACAGAAGACGTGTTAGTGACAGACTGAGTGGAGGGCAGACCGCAGGAGGTGGGGTGTTTGTAATGGTTACAGGACAGTTTGTCAGTAGATAGCCTAGAAGCCTTCCTGTCAGCAGGCGGGTGGCGTGCAAAGATTTTCGGAGACGGCAAGTTATCGTACAGGACTGCGTTATCATAAAGCACCTCTTCTCCCAGGCCTCCGCTACAGGAAGCAGGAAAGCCATCTTCGGGTTCCCACTGTAATACACACAGCTTTGTCGTTAGTGTCTCGGCCACAGAAAGCACAGCAGATCTTAGCATACTGCGATGTTATTAGCACCCCCACACATGCGCACATACCCCCAGCTGTTATCAATAAAACACGGACACACAAGTACTGTAGGTGAACTGATTCAGAAGAACTTTCCTACTTTTGGGGACTTTAGGAAAGTTTTCTTTCTTCCTTAAGCCATCCCCAGAGTCACTGGCTTATGAAGGTGTTCTGTTTTTTAAAGCAGGAAAAAGAAGTGACTTGACATTTCTTTCTTTAAAGAACCCGATTTCAGACGGAAGTCCTGATCCGGAAAGCAAAGCGACATGATGGCAAACATGGTGAAAGCCCAGTGAAGCGCTTCCTTTTGTTTTACAGTCATCATTACGGTCTAGGCCAGGGGTCGGCAAACTGTGGCTTGCGAGCCACACGCGGCTCTTTGGGTACGTTCCGTCTCAAAAGTCTGCCAACCCCTGGGAGAGCCAATCCTGTCCCTCACAACAATTTAAAATTATTCGAGAGCCATAAATATATTTTTACATAATCACCATTATATGAATAATATCATTTAAAAATTTTATAAATGAAACTATGATAGTTGTATTTTCATTTTCAATTTTAGTTCAGAGCCTGTGACTCACGAGCCGCAGTTTGCTGACCCCTGGCAGCTCTTCCATCTCAAAAGTTTGCGGACCCCTAATCTAGACAATTGTTTTAAGTGCTTTCCAAATATCAAACTCCATAATTCTCATGAGGATCTTATGAAGTAGGAGGAAACTGAGGCAGAGAGGTCACAGGGCTGGTTGAGGCGAGCTGGCCTGCACAGCCATGCTAAGTGCACAGGATGGTGGGCCTGTGGCCTGCAAGCCGTCCACGCCTGCAGGCACTGGGGACTGGGTGCTACAGGGATGTCAGCCTGTACTGCGTTCCATACTTGGTTACGGCTGATTAAAGTGCCATAACCAAAACACAGTCTGAAAAGAAAGAAATGAGATCATCTCAGAAAATAGGATGTCTCCAAGTATAATTGATAAGATGGCATTATTTTAGCGGAAAACCTTTGTCTAAAGGACTAAAATAGCCACAAGCTATGTTAGAACACAGACATTAAAGGACACATTAAAACCCCAAACTACCAACCATAGCCAGATTCTTCTAAGCTTTAAAGGTCTCTATAAATTGCTTTGCATTTACAAAAAGAAAAAAAAAAAAGGGAAAAATTAATTCATATATTATGCTCATTTTACACTATTTTTATATCCTTCTTGCAGAGCTTCTTTCTGCCAGACTGTAATTACAGCCTTTTGCTATAAAAATAGAAAAAGCTTTAAGATTCCATAGTAGGGGTATTCTTCTTCCTTTGCAATCACTTCAGTGTGTCTATTTTTGTGATGCTGGGGACCCATCTACAATCTAAAAATAATGGAACATGCAGATAAACTTGGATGTGAGAGTTTCGTAATGACAACCGAGCATATATTTGTCCAGGGTAAAAATGGTCCAGACTAGACTATCATTTTCCTAAAATACCAGGGGATTAAATCACATGAAGACTTAGAAACTGCATAGAAGTTTCTAGATCAAAAGTGTGTGTGTCCTTGCACGTATGCGTGTCAGAAGATCCTTTTGGAGATTCACTTTCATCTTGTGTTAGGCCTCAGGGGGGGCACTGCATGGGTAAGGTCACTGAACTTGAAACACAGCTAAGATGTCAGGTTTGGGGTCAGAAGGAGGAACTTTATGGAACAGAGAAATGAAGCCCTCCGAGAGAGACGGCCTGGTGGCAGAGCCTGGCATGTGGAAGAGTGCTGCGAGGAAGGTCTGTGCCTCCAGGGGCCGTCACCAGCCAGGACCCCCCATGCTATGCACACGACGCTATGTCCTAGACACTCGAGTGCCCACCTAGCAGTACACCCACAGGACACAATCCCAAAATGTGAGACCTCTGGGAACAGCACGTTGCAATTTCCAAAAGATTTAGCTGTGAGTGACCCGGGTGTGGCGGGTGCCACATAATGACCAGAGCGGGCTGCGACAGTGGCACTCGCTGAGAATCTGCGACGGTGTCGTTCTCCAAACCCACAGCTCAGCCGCATGCTTTCATGAGGAAGCCCTCTGAGGAAAAGGGACGTGAAAGAGCCTTTGGGAGGGAGACTCAGAGACAGTCTGGGTGTCAGCTTTCCAAACAAGCTTGTCTGAGATTAAAGGCTCCGGGAAGCTGACCACTGTCTGGACAGCAGCTGGGCCTACACAGGGCTGAGGCTGCTCCATCCCGAGGCGCGGGTAGCTGCACACAGCTAATGGGGACCAGGAGAGCCAGCGTCACCTTGAAAATGGCGCAGTGACTAGGCCGAAGCACAGGGCCCCGACTGAGACGCCTTCTTGTAAGGGCCACCACGGACTTTTCCTAAGCGGGTGGGCTCGCACGAGCATCTCCACAGGGATGGATGCAGGGCTGTGGTGCAGTGGGCACCAGGAGGGCCCCAAACTCGGGAGACCCCATGGCAAAGGCGGTGGTGAGAGTGGGGGGCAAGGAGGAGACGGACTGGACCCAATGCTTTCTTGCTGTGGGACAGGACGCGTCTCCCACCCCAGACCCAGGCAGGGCTCTATTTGATGGACTCTGCAGCCAGGCTGGAATTTCACAGGGGCTCTGCTCACACCCTGATGCCCATGCCAACCATGAACCTGACGTTCACCTTAACCTTCTCTTGGACAGCTCCCTGCCAGGCCCAGGTCCCCGTTAGCTCTCCTCCCACTAGACGGGAGGCCACTTAAGGCTATACCTTACCCGTTTTGTTTCCAGTCCCTAGCACAGAGTCTGGACAACAGGAGCCTCAGGAAGATAAGGGGGGAGGGAAGGGAGGAGTGAGGGAGGGTGGGGAACGAGAAGGTGAGGAAGGAAGGGGCAAGACTGAACCGGGGAGAAACCCCTGCTGAGAGTCAAAGCACCGTGGACAGCCTGTCCCCGGCTGGAAGCCCAGGGAGGCCCGACGGTGGGGAGGAGGTCTGACAGGGGAAGGCCCATGGCATGTGTCCTGACTTCCAGTTTGCTCACATTTCTGAGCTCTGGGGGTCCTGACCCCCTTCCTGTCCTCAAGAAGGCAACGGTCTACTGACTCCTTCCGTGGGCAGGTGTGGATTTTATGATGATAGATAACAGGGAGCTGAGAGGTGACATCCATCAAAATACTAAGAAAAGAATGGGGAAGCTAAACAGTAAGAAAAATATCCAAAACACCTTCCAAGGCTGAAAAACTCACAGTGAACACAGTCTATGCCTGCCTTGGAAACCTCCTAAAACAGAGGCCAGTGCAAACCCGGCCAGAACTGTGACTCTGAAGGCCTGACCTCCGATTACCCAGACGATGGATACGGTGCCCGGTCCAGAGAAGATGCTCAATAAGTGGCTGTGAAATGAATAGTGTAGAGACATCGTGAAACAAATGTTTACTGATGAATTTTGCTAATTATACCTAAGACACAAACTGAGAGCAAATCAAAAAACTCCTGAGGCCAAACAAACATCCTGAAGGCTATTTCAATACAAGAAGCTGCACGGTGTATATGTGGTATATGCCCAGCACAAGACGGGGGGTAGGGGTACCAGTTCCCTGAGTGTACTCTAGGGAGGGTATCTTGAGTTTGGAGTTTGGTCAGCACCCTATGGCAACACTCGCTTTCTGATGGTGACCCCTCAGCGTTTTGATCACACAGGGAAACAGCAATTCACTGATAACTCATACCGTATTACATTCTGATCCATCTGAGGTATAGGCTCCAACGTGTTACCCTTTAGTCAGAATTTTGGGATATGCCAAAATCTTTAATTAATGACACTGACATTGAATGACAAACTGTCCAGTGGTCTCAAATCCCCTACTTGTTCAAATGCAGAGTAAGACAAACAGCTGGTCAAAAACAAGGACAGGAGAGATGGGATAGAGTTTCATCTTCCTCAAAGCGTGAAAAAGAACTTCATCTCATTTGGACTGAAAGCAGGGGGACTACATTACAGAGGTTTTCAGACACTCCTGGCTTCTAACATGAGCCACCATTCCCTCTGGAAGCATGGCATACTCACCGAGCCGTTTATACAGGGGACGTCGTCGTAATGCAGCGCTGTCCCACTGGGGTGGGCGTAGCCGTTGGAGATGCCCCCTAGATACGGGTTAGTAGATAGAACTCGCCTGTTCATGAAGCTGAAAGACAGGACATGAGTTAACACTCCAGTCAACCGACAAGCCTTACGTAAGTTCTGACCTGACGCTCAGGGCTGCGTCAGAGGCTATGGGGGGACAGAAGAAGTACCAGGACCGGGGGACCACACTCCACACCTATAAAGGAGGATACCACCACCTGGCAGGATTGTGACAGGGCCTGGTGACAATGCAGGCTGGGTACATAAAGCAATGCCTGGCACATAACTGGCATTCAATAAACAACAACCATTTTCATTATCAGCAATCTATAGCAGGGTCTGCTCCTGCCCACTGCCTGTTTTTGGAAATAAAGTTTTATTGAAACACAGCCTTGACCCTTCATTTATGGACTGTCTATGGCCACTTTCGAGATTTTTACACGCCTCTTTCATGAACCTATTATCAAAGTCAGAGACCATACGGGCTGCAAAACTGAAATATATGTACTGTGTGGCCTTTCTGGGAAAGTTCGTGGACCCTCTAAGCTCTTTAGAGTGTTTATTCCATGGCATTTCTCGAGTTCTCAGTGTTCATTCAACATCACCTTCCCTTCCGCCCTCCAATCCCTGAACGTTTGAGAGCCCTGACAGCATCCAGTGTGACCCTTCAGAAGGCAAGCCGGACAAGTCATCCCTCTGCTCAAAACCTCCGGGGAACCTCTGAAGTGGCTCCAAAAACATCCAAAGCACGCCTGCGAGCCTGTGGCTGCTGGTCTCTGCTGTCCCTGCTTCATGTCCCCAGATGGTCCCCAGCCAGGCTCCCTGTGGCTCTGTCACCACAGGCCTTGCCCCCCCCCCGCCTGCCTGGGAGCTCCTCTCCCAGAGCCCCTCACTTCTTTCAGCCTCTGTGGGAATATTACTTCATTGAGAGGCCCTCCCCGAGCACCCAAAATAAACAGCGCCCCATCCCACCTCTGCATCACCACCCTTCTGTTTCTTCTTCCTATTACTCATCACTGCTGAACACATAATTACGCGCTCACTGTTTGTCCCCATGAGAATATCAGCTTCAGGAGAACAGGCCCGGCTCAGTTCTGTTTGTTGCCCTAGTTCAGTGTTTGGGACAATGGCTGGCCTATGAAAGGTGCCCAATACGTGCCAAGTGAATGAATGTCTGAGTGGTTCACTCATGAATTTAGGTGTGTTGTACATAAAAAACTTAATACCCAGAAAGAAATAAGCTAGATAGCATTTTCTCCCAACTGGGTAAACTACACCAGTCTAGAGCTTTAAAAAATGATTTTTTTTTCAAACTTTATTTCTTCGTAGGATCTTACACTTCTGTGGTAACTAGGTGAATAAAAAAAGAGTAAATGCAAAAAAAGTGAGGGAGGTACCGGGCAAAGTGAAAACTAAGCTAAACTGATTTCTGATTAAGAAGGGAGCAAGAGGAAAAGGGTTTTAGGATTAGTCTCAGAATTCTGATGGTTGCCGCCCTGGCAGAGGCTTTCAGAGCGCAGCTACTGCCCTCTGCCGGCGGAAGGCCACTATGCACGTCCACACTCACCGTAAGCACATTACGCTTTAACTTACAAAATAACTCCTCTTGCTCTTTTCTGATAAAAAAAAAGTATGTGATTATTCTATATTTAAAATACATAAAAGTATGTAGGAAAAGAAAAAATACAAGAAGGAAGGAAAAATTTAAGAGATCTATGCTAACAGATTTTTGATATGTTTTTAAATATGTATGTATTTCAGATTTTTCTAATTTGAATATCTCACTTGAGGGTATTTGGGGTAAGACTATGCACTTGTTCTGTCAATGAGAGGCAGTAACGGAATAAATGAAAACCCGCCATGTGGCCCAGCGCCCCCCCGCCCGCTCCCCCCCACCAGCCGCAATACAAGCATCTGTTACGTGTCTCTCTCCTCCTGGTACGTGGCGCCCCTCGCAGCAGGGACTGCCCCGCGCTAGCTCTGGATCTCCACCTCCTGGCATTGTGCCTGGCACTTGCACTGGTACACAGATGCCAGAAAGGAGTAGGGACCATGAGGGCCAGGGCAGAAGCTTCCTTGCATGGAAGAAACACCAGCAGGATGCTTCTGACTCAGAGTCAGAAGAGCGAGAGGTCACAGGCACACAGAATGTTCTGGCTGGAAGACACCTTGGCCACCACCATCTAGTCTACCCCTCACCTTACAGAGAGGGACGTGGGCCCCAAACACCTTACAGAGAGGGACGTAGGCTCCGGGTCCTACAGAGCGAGTGGGGCCAAGATTAAGTATTAGGTTCCTCTCTTCTGCCTGGTGCTCTTTCTACAACAGAGCTTCCAGCCAAATTGAAAAGTAAAAATGAATAAGAGACCACATGCTACTTGCTAAACCCAAATCATAAGTAAGTCACTCATAGGAAATATTTGTATATTATCGTTAAAATACACATAAAACTCACTCTCATCACCACTGCTAAGTGCACAGTTCAGTGGCACTAAGTGCCTTCATGCTGTTGTACAACCATCTCCCCCATCCATTTAGAATTTTATCTTCCCAAACTGAAACTCGGACCCCAAGAAACATTAACTCCCCCTCCCCCAGCCCCTGGCAACCTCCATTCTACTTTCTGAGCTATGAATTTGCCTCCTCTAGTACCTCCTAGAAGTAGAATCATATAGTATTTATCCTCTTGTGACTGGCTTATTTCACTGGGCATAATATCCTCAAGGTTTATCCATGTTTTATGGAAACACATTTTTACATAATCTTCCAGGAATTCAGACAAGGTGACTGAAGATAACAGTTTCCTATCAGTTTGTCTATTCCCCTCTCTTTGTTTATACAGACCCATTGCTTTTTATCATCATCAGCAGCATAGCTTTCTCATGGGTCTCCAACTAAGCATGGCTCGAAAAGAGTTTCAGGAGAAAAATTGAGAACATTTCCCTTGTATCAAAGAATCTATATATCTAATTTAAAAATGGGCCTCAGGAAAATATGTTTCAGTGGTTTACCATTATTAATATTCCTACATAACCACTTTTCCTGGGAGAATTTAAATGAGTATTTTTTCTTTTACTGTCCTCTTTCCAAAATATATCATTGTCCTCTCTCCCTCAGACACGGCCAATGCAGAGACACTTTCCCTAATACCCTTGAAAAAATTCATAGCTGCCAGTTTGCATAAAAGCAAAAAACGAATTTAATCTTAGAATATTTATTACACCGGCAAGCTACCATATTTTGTTTTACACAGTTTCCTTGTTTAATTTCTTAAGTTTTACAAGAATGTTTAGCTAGAAAACTGAAACATGGAAATAAATTTTATTGTTAACTAACATCTATAAAGATTTTAATGAGGTAGCAAAGATTCTTGCAGCTAAACTCATTACATGCACATTTTTAATCAATAATTTTTCAATATTGCAATCTACATTGCTTTCTTAAAAATGTGACCTTCCCACATTGGGTTTAGATTAATATTCCCTCCTTTAGAAAGAAGCCCCCATGTTCTAAGGGAACTATTTTATTCAGGGCTTCTCTTAAATGGGGTTATCAGTTTGCTGCTTATAGTTGAAGTCACATGTGGGTTTAGGAGAGGCTTTTGGGAACCTCATAACTTCCAAATAACCAGTTAACAGCCATAAATCTTCTCTTTTATGTCACTCTAGATATGTAGATTTTGCAAACCCAATTTATGGATATTACATTTCTTAAAAAGCCTCTTTAAATGAGCTTTATTTAATGAATGATGAGAAGATTCATTTTAACCTACCTGCATTTTGCTGATTAATGTTACTATTGAAAAATAATGAATGTACACAGAACAGTCGGTCCTTAACTATGTCATCCTAATTTCACACAAAGGAACAGTAGTCAGAATAGGTGGCTTATACTTTAGAAAACCTCTCGAATCACTGGAGATTGTCTGGACCATTCTGTGCAGGCTATTCCCCAGCTGGGGTAACTCGGCAGCCTGGCTCCTAACATGGGCCAAAGGTAACTTTACTTAGCTCCAGCATATCCTAGCCAAGCATTAAACAAGTGTTCATTCCTCTTCTTTCACAGAAAATGTAATAATTTTAGTGCTTCATCAAGGATATCTTAAGTGAATCCAGCATTTTCCTTCACTGAAAGTGTGTGGTGCGTGTTGTGGTACGATGACTGTACCGAGTTACCCACCGTTGCTTTTGCACCATTGATGCAAATGGCACAATAGTGAAGAAGGAAAACAATTTCTTAGTATTATTAGGAAAATAGTTTTGACTTTTTGGACTGCCTGAAAGGGTTCTGAATACCCCCAGGAGCCTGTGGACCATACTTTGAGAACTGCAACTATAATCATCTTTGCCATCAATGTGTTAAAAAAAAAATCATGATTCAAAAGAATGAGTTTGTATGCAACAGCCTTAAAAACAAACAAACGAAAAATCACAATTAAAATTTTGAAAAGCCCTGATTGATGGCTTTGAGAACTCAGTCCTCATTACAGCAATATGTAGAATCATTTCTGCTTTACAGAACTGTTCCCCTAACACAAGGGTCAGCAAACTACAGCCTACAGGCCACATCCGGCCCACTGCCTGTGGTTGCAAATAAAGTTCTATTAGAACACAGTCACACCCATTTGTTTACATATTGTCTACAGCTGCAACGGCAGAGCTGAGTGGTCACAACAGAGAATATTAGGCCCACAAAGCCAAAACTATTTACTATCTTGCCTTTTACAGAAAAAATTTGCCTCTTCTAATAAGAAACATAGAGGGTTAAAATGACAAATAATTCACTAAAGTTTAGATTAATATAATACAAAAGGGAGAGTTTTCAGTTGTTTTTTCTCCTGAGGCTACAGGTGCACATAAAAAGTAAAAAAAAATGAGGGAGAACATGAAGTTGTTTAACTTCAGTGCCATTTCACATGGCAGTGGCTCTTACCAGAAGGTCTGTTTGGCTGTCTGAATGACATTCGCAGACATCTCCACATCTATGTAGTCGTAGTGCAGGGCCCCGGGGTCTGTCGAAGACCCCGTCTCAGCCAGCAAAATTCCAATCCACCTGCCCATGTCTTCAGAAGAAGACGCCTGTCCCAGTAAAGGAGAGAAAGTGCATTTTATTTAACTAATGGTAAAGAGTTTTAACATTTTCATAAATATGTCAACAGAGACCACAGAACAGGAAAGGAGGTGAGACGTAAGGAGTAGGAATGAGACAGAAGGTGCAGGTATTGCCTGAGTCATGGGATCAACGCAGAATTCACAGTAAGCCTTAACGCAGGAGGTTCCCCAATGACCAAATCCAAGGAAATAAAAAGCTGAGGTCCTAAAAACGCCTTCCAATTATTTTGGGGAAAGGCACTAGGGTGTAAGACATGGAAATGAGTATGATTAGTTAAATCTCAGCTAAAGGAAGTTGTTTAGAAAGTCTTATTAATTTGGCAACAAAATCTGGCCAGAAAATGAAGCCCCTGCAACTATAGCCGGCCTGGCCTGGAAAGCACCGTCGGGTCTATGCCTCTGGTGGCCTCACACGCTGCTGCCCAGCCGCCCTTGCTGCAGCCTCCTAAATGGGCCTGAAATGGCCATTTTATTTCCCTTGATTCGACAGTATAAAACACTTACTTTTACATCAGTGTGTTTATATAGGTGTAAAAATGATTCACAATCATTGGGCTTCTCTGTGTGTGCTATTTTTAGGCTGTTTGAAATGTTCCCCAGCCCCTGACTTGGATCTGCTTAACTTGCAAATCTGAAACATGTCTTTAAGATTTGCTTCACTACATTTTTAAGTCATTCTTGTTAGGTGATTTAGAAAATCAATTATATTACATTTATAGTGGTATATGAAATGCCTAAATAAATTTGATTAATTAAATGTGTAAATAATGTTTAAAGTTTAGGGGACACTGCACTATCAAACATAGGAGTTAAGTGAATGTCAAAGAAAAGCTACATATATATAAAAATGCTTTCAGAGCTGGTTGCTAGTGGTGGAACTCTGTGTGTGTGTGTGTGTGTGTGTGTGTGTGTGTGTGTGTGTGTGTGTGTGTGTGTGTGTGTGTGTGTGTGTGCGTGCGCGCGCGCGCGCGCTGATGTAATGACTGGAATACAGAAGAGGTTAATGGAACATGGCCACTCTCTTTCAAGGACTTGGGGCCTGCACCTGCAGTGCTTGGGTCGAGGGCAGGACAGGTAAGCTCCTCCCCAGGCCCTCACATCTCTGCCCCCCTTCCTGGATTTCTCCATCTAGGCATCCAGCCCAGGCTCCCTCAGGCTGCAGGCACAACTCCCCACTCTTCCTTCCTGCACACCCAGCGCGTGCCAATTCATGCCTGCTTGTCCTGCACCCTCTCTCAGATCCGCTGCCAAAGCTCTCAGATGAGCCCAGCATTGTTTTCCATCAAGAGTATAGTTTCCTCATTTATGTTTCCAGCTTACTCCCACTGCCATCCACCCTGCCGTTTTCAGCCTGCGGAAATTCTTATCAAGTACACCGACTGCAGCCAACACGCATGTTTTACAGACACATAAAGAAGGCGAGAGAAGAAAAGATTTGGTTGTGATCAAAGTCCTCAACAGAACGAGGACTGGGACCTAGCTATCCTGCTCCAGCCAGGCCTGGCCTCCTTTCTGTGACATCACAGGCTGCAGAGTCAGCGCTGCGGCAGCAGGCAGGGCTCGGGACCTGTTATCTCCAGCTAGTGGGCCAGGAGCCCTGTGGGAAGGAGAACTACCGTGTTTCCCCAAAAATGAGACCTGACCAGAGAAGAAGCCCTAGCATGATTCCTCCAGGATACGGAGGGCACGCACCCCTCACATGAGGGTTTTATGACCTGTTCAGGGAGAAGGGCGCCTTTTCCACAAACTCCTTCAGCTTAAAATATTCAATATGCCAAGGAGCCATATGTTGGCACCTAAAATCACGCGAGGGCTTATTTTCTGGTTAGGTCTTATTTTTGGGGAAACAGGGTAGATTGTTCATCTTCTTTAGCCCCCATCGAAAAAGAAGCTGCCATGAAAATCGTCTCTGAAACAAACTCCCAGCTCCTGTCAAGACCTCTGGATTGCCTTCTGGGCCCCCGGGATCTCGGGCACGGCTGGGCTTTTTCCTCCACTGATCAGTATCACCACAGTCAGGTAGAATCTGGCTCTACATCTGATGAATTAGAACACACATCACCATTCCACGGACCCTAACAGACCTCGCTCTATGGACTGTGTAGCATAAACAGGTACTGTGGAAACTCTACCACCTAATACTTGTGTATACATGGATACACGCCATCTGTGTGTGTGTGTGTACCTCTGCGTCTTAACCATGACAATGCTGAGTGGGGGAAAAAGACAAAGGGGAAAAGGTCTGAACTCATATTGGGGAGAAAATAAATTAATAATATAAGGGATGAAAAATAAAAATTAAGACTTTCAAAACTGAAAGTTGTTAAGTCTGTTGCTAAGAAATTCATTTTAATTACTTTTTCTGTTTTAGTGAATCTGTTCTAGAAAGGCAGCCAAATAAACAATAAAATGAATACAAAGCCCAGAGCTCCTAAAAACGAAAGGTCTCCTTTTTGGTTTCCATGTAAGCTGGCTCACTGGCCACTGTCTGTATGGCAATGGGCTGTCTGAAGACACCTACCTATTCATCTGTAAAGCACTCAAGAGCATTCTGAAGGGTGAGTTAAAGGAAACACCACCATTTCAAAGGCAAACCATAATTAAGGGGGAAAAGTTCTACTGAAAATTTTAGAACAAGTTACTTTCTGGCTGCTTTAAACAACGTAATCCACAATATGGAAGTGTATGTAATTTCCATGCAAACACGTGCAGGGAGGAAAGAAACAAGGAGGTAACGTGGCAGACAAGTTGATGTGTACAGCTTAGCAGAAAAGGGCACAGTGCTGTTTTCACAGTGTCCCTCAGAAAGAGGGGGTGACAGAGGAAGAAAAGCAGAGACGAACCAGATGGGCAAAGTGAGAGAAAAGGCCGTGAATCCAAACACGGCACCGCCAGCACGGCGCAAGGCCTTCTGACAGGCGTCGGCACTGGCTTCTGGAGGGAGGACCGCCCTACCTCTAACACAGCCACCTCCTGCCCGTTGCGAAGCAGTCGGAATGTCAGGGGGTGTTTGGAGTCCAAGCCAGGGATCACCTCACAGCCACGGAGAGGAACGGAGACGATGTGGGTCTTCAGATCGGCCCTGTCCTTGTGGAAAACGAGCTTGTTGTCCTTGACTCTGCACCAACGCTCCCGCCAGCGGCTATTGGACAGCACATTCAGGTAGCCTGCGAGGGGACAGAAGCCAAAGTTTCAGCCTCCTGGGGGAGGCAGGGCACTGGTGAAGGCAGGCTAAAGAATCCAGAAGGTTGACATGCGCAGAACAAATCCTGCACACAGTTTTGAACACAGACCATGTAAACAAGGAGAGCTGTCACTGTCATATGACTAATTTCAAGCAAGCTCCGAGGGCTTCACAGGACAGCACCTATCAGAAGCCCCTAATTGAATGTGGTGTGTAACGTGTGCTTGAGAACCGGGCACCAGATGGTTCAGGTTTCTGTGGAAGCCGGAGCTCACCTGCAGGATGGGCAAGGCCACTAAGCATCCGTGACTAGATGGCGAGGAGGAAATGAGGACATGATAGCCGGCTTCAATTAGCGAAAGGGACATATGGAGATGGAGTCAGAGCAGCTACAAATGACACAACTAGGACAAAAGTTATAGGAAGGCAGATTTTGGCTTAACATGAGAAAAAAACGATTGAAAATGAAAGCTTTCCAAGAAATGGAGGCCTTGTGTGTGTGTGGGGGTGGTGGTAATAAGTTCCCCAGCACTGGACGTATTCCAACAAATGATGGAAACACCTCAGCATGAGACTCCTACCCAGAGGCCAAGGCGTCCTGAGTGACCCTCATCTTCCGAGGCGGCCTGCTGGTTCGAGGGTTCTGACTGGTGGGGCCTGCCCAGATGACATCTAAACGCTTGAGCCGGAATGTATGTGAGATTTTGCCACTCATGTCATTCCACTGCACAAAATCTTTAGTATATCACAGACATGGAGACATGGAGATCCAGAAATAGATACATAGAAATACAGATACACCAGACGTGCCAAAAAAATGTGTACAAGTGGACACTTTGGTCAGTGTCGGTCAAGCAGTAGTTCACCGTCATCAGAAGTGTCTGGACGCTGATGGGAACCACATTGAGCACCTCTTTGTAACTGCAGAAGTCAAACGTGACTTGTATTCATCTTTTGTTATCAGTATATATTGACTATTACTATTTTAATAGTTTTCCTTTCTTAAAACGTGTACACATTTTTTTGGCACTCTCTGTATAGATATATAGCTCCACATGAGATCAAGTTACAGGAAGAATTATCCTTATTTTTATAAAAGAAATCTCTTCAAATACCAAAGAAACCTGATCATTTTGTCACAAACATAAAATGTATTTTTCTAGAAATGACAAGGCATAAAAACTAGATTTCACAGGGTAGCTGTGACTGCTGACCACTCCATAATGCTAGTAAATTACTGCCCCCTTCAAGATTTAGGAAGTAAGTTAAATAGCATACAAAATGTAGGTCAATAAGGAAGAAAGAAAACAAAAATCCTTGAGTCACTCAGCTACTCTCGCAGTTCATACACAGACGTGTGCTCACACATGTGGCTCAAAAAACAAAACTAATGCTTTCCAATCCTGAGTTTTAAAAATGCCTTTGCATCCTTTATGTTCCGGTCTTAAACACCTTATTAGCAATGGATAAAGGCATAAAGGTAAAAAAACCCCACAAAAACAAACCCATTACATGGCACAAGGCCCAGAATGATGCTTTCTATGTTCCATAGAAGGGTTTGCCTGGGGAATTTAATATGCAAACACTTGGGAAGCTTAGGTTTCCATCTGGCTACGTGTGACACCAGTCCTGCCAATACACCCTCAACTATAGGGCTTACTGTTTGTCCTGGAACTGGCCTCTGTTTGGGGCGTGCGCTGCTGTATCTGTGAAGTAACAGAGGAAGTGGGGGAGTGAGCCATGGGCTCAAGTGTCCGAAGTTCCTCGCAGCTCACACATTTGGGGACTGCGGGGAGGCAAAGAGAGGCTGGAGAAGCAGAGTTAAAACCTCATGGACAGTTCGATGCCTGGCCCAAGCTGAGCTGCCAACAGGTGGCAGGATGGCTCAGCTAAAAAACAAACAAACAAAAAAACAAAAAAACCTCATGGGCTCGCTTTATGAAGGAGGAAGCTTACCTCACTCCCTGCTGGGTGAGTGCCTGTGTTCAAGGCCACCCAGCAAAGCCTGACCTGAAGCTGTCCTGAGAGTTAAATATGGCAAATAAAGAGCCCGTCTTTTGAATACAGCCCTCACATTAGGAGATCCATTCTGGAAAACACTGTTTGTAAATGACACAGTTGTGATACACACAGTCAGCTGTAATATCTGAACTGTGTCTATGTTTCTGGCAAGCCCTGAGGAATGAATGAAGCCGAAAGCCCGCTTTTCTGGCCTTCCGGGAAATGATTGCCAGCTGCACCCATCCTAAGCATCCTGTGAGCACGAACGACACGGGGGCTTAGAGACAAACGTGACGACACACGTAAGAAGAGCTGGAAGACACGGCACTGCTCTCGAATGCCTTGATCTGCTGAGGCACATGAGGTCAGCACACGAGGGCGGTCGTCACAAGGAAGCCCTAGGCCCCGGCACTGGCAGATGTGCAATGGGGGCACCTCCGTGCGGCCTGCAGGGACGGATTCTACTGGCCTGCGGGAGGAGGAGGTCTGAATGGAGCAGAGTAGAACACGAGAAATAAAGACATGAAACATCCAGGGACCCGGTGATCGCAAACCTCAGAGCCTTTGTAAGAAGCTGGCCTTGATGCACAAGGGGTGGAATCATGATGGGACGTGAGATGCCACAATATTCTCTGAGGAACTGAAGCAGGAAGCAGGCCTGATGGCGGATCTACCTCTTCAGTAACAGGGGCGACATTCCTTTTTCATTTCCAAAGGACTGCCTGACCTTGGACTTCACCACGTGGTGCCCTGGGTGCCCTCCGCGGTCACTGAGGGCAGCTCCACTCACCAGGTGGGCAACACGCTCCTGAAAAGGGAAGGTCCTCTCATGATAGTTTCTTCCCTGACCAAATCTGGCTGAAAGTCACCAAGTGCTATGAATTTCTTGACATTTGAGTCACAAAAGGAATGATTCTATTGGACAGATTCCCATTTTATATAGAACATGACTTCATATAAAATTACCATATTTTAACGCCTCCCTCAGATGTGCTTACAGTTCCCAAAAGGGAAAACCAGAAAGAATCACACTGGACTCACACCATCGGCCCCACAGCAACCACCCCCGTGTGGCGGCGGGCCTCGCCGGCCCAGGGCCCAGCACACTGCCCTCTGCTCCTCTCAGGAAGGGGTGGCCTAAATCCCACTTTCTGGGTAGGGAACGTGAAGATGGGGGAACATGAAGATCAGGGAAATGCACACAACACCGTTGAAGGAACCTGGAGTGAGACAGGAGGTCCCTGTGTCTCCTAACATTGTCCCAGCCCAACACCGCTGGTCTGGCTGACGAATCTGGTCTGGCTGACGGAACGGGTGCTGACACAGGACTCCATCGTCCCCATGGATATTTCAGCTGACGCACACACCCACCACCAGGTGGTGACAAAGTGCAGACAGGCCCAGCCCACTGGGTCTTCCAGGGAGCACTCCAGGCTCACGAGGGTCACAGGCTCACCCTGGTCATTTCCATGAACTGCAAAATAAGGCAACTGCACTTATTACTTTATTTCTTAGATCCTACTTATCATGTTATGGTGAGATGTTGTATCTTAACAATTTGGGAGTTTCAGTTTGCTTTTTTGACATTATGTTTGCTCCAAATTCTGTGGCGAGAGGGCACAAGGTTTCATTAGAACTACAATAACTTTATAGTACTGAGATTAAACAAACAGAAACACAGGAGCAGCAGCAGACACCAACACCCCTGCGTTCAGCTGTTGGGATATCTGGCGTCTCCAGGCTCAGGGTGGGGTGACTCTCAAATTCCAACAGCTGCAGAAGGGCAGGCGGGGCCAAGCACCCTCTGGTTCATCCTCTTTAGGATGGGAAACTAATGTCTGCAGGGGAGGCGACTGTGCTCTGGTCACGCTTTGAGAGAACATTCATCCTGGTGTAACTACTGGCTTTATCTTAGCAAGTCGGTTTACCATCAGCTGGGGGGAGCAGGCCCTGGGAAAGCAGAGGGTGCTGTGAGGGAGGGGATACCACACATCGATGCTGCCAACAGCTGGTCCTGGTCCTGCCCACACCGAAACACCTCCAATAGGCACACGTGCCAAGAAACTCTTATGCCAACACCCAAAATGGTTACACACCAAGAATGCTTGCCTCCCCCTTTATTAAATGTCACCTGATCTTTTATTATGATAGGAAGTGAGATGCATATAACTTTCCTGTCCACTAAAAAGTGGACTCCCCAAAGTCACAGAACAGTAGATCTGGAAGCGACCTGAGAAACATCCAGTGAGTCCTTCAAACCAGCTCAGGTCATCCTGACTCCATCTGAATAGCCTGGGATCTTCCCGTCCTCTGAGCTTCCCTATTTCTTATTACCTATGCCCCTCACCTGGCATTTTGCCCTTGTGTTGCCTTGAATATGACTGGGACACTTAGTGCTTTTTAAAAAGCACATCAGGTGAACAAATGGTTAACAGGGGCAACCATTTACCGAGCAGAAATTATAAAGCAGGCACTGAACTTACTAGTGTCTCATGTATTTTATCTTCAATGCCTATGAAAACAAAATAGTCTACGTATTGCGCCCATTACACAGATGAAAAACCTGAGGCTCGGGGAAGCTATGCAGCTCGCTTAAGGTAACTATTCAGGCAGCAGGTGTTTGCCGAGCTGCTGCTGTATCTGCAGGCTCTGTGGAAAGCTGCTGGGAACATCACTGGTGAGCAAAGTAATCTGCATCTTCAGCCAGTGATACAGGAGAAAAAGCTGGAAAACTAAGTTTGAGACAAGGTTGTTTGAGGCCTGAAATGAGCAGCAAAGAGCCTTTTTGTCTTTGAAAGCATAGAATATGATCAGTCTAAGGTTTCAAACTTCGTCTGGTGGCCGGGAGGGACACAGAGCAGGAGCCGGCCAGTCAGAAGGCTTGTGTGCTAGTGCAAGCAATACACAGCGCTGGGGACAGGGAGGAGGGGAAGAGTGACGTGCATGTCCTGATAACAATAGCTGAATCTATCAAGTGACAGTAGTTCCGGGACTTGGAAGCGCCGGAGAAAGGCAAATGAAAGACTGTGCTCTGCTGAGAGGTCTGTGCTCGCCTCAGATGCCTCATCCAAGGTGCTGTATGCAGAGCTGACCTGGCTGATGCTAAAGGCATCACTCCACAGCCCCAGAACAGGAACGAGGGGCTGGCTGGGCTGCTGGCAGCCCTGCGGCAGTCGCTCCCCGTCCCTCACCTGCAGGAGCACCTGCACAACACCATCTCCCACCGCACCCCCAGCATGTTCACTGTGTGCTCAGAGGCCCAGGCTGCACCCCACAAAAGAGCTGGGATGAGCAAAGCTCCCGGGGCTCCCGGCGCCCTTCCGCCCACCCGCTCGGCACAGCTGCAGGGGCTCCACCGGCAGGGTGGGTGTCGTGGGCCACAGTCCAGCTACCTTCTCTGCCCGAAACCCTGCAGCTGTACTCAGGCCACAGGAAATGGTCCTTTCCCCTGTATTTCTCTAGACCCCTCCCATCCCCCTACCCTAGCAAGGAACAAGATGACAATTTTAAAATCTGTGGACAGAGGATGTTCTCTTCACAGAGACAAAAGATGTCCACTCGGCGTATGACAGAACCCACAGAGCATAATGACAGGCCGAAGACACGCCACCCAGCTCTGAGGTAGCAGCTGGTCATCGACAAAGTCACAAAGTCAAGCTGTTTAGGGGGACTGAGCAGAGGACACGTTTGGGGGACACTAAGGGAGATGGAGGAGGCGTGGGCCCCGGGGACTCAGCCGAGTTGGGCCCGCAGGCCCGGCTCTGCCCGCAGCGGGCCTGGGGCTCGGGGAAAGTGCCACCAGCTTTCAATGCTCCCATTCGGAAAAACGAGGGTCTGCACACAGCCTCTGAGTCGCCGTCCATATGAATGTTTTTCATGAAAGGATTTCTATTTCCTCCACTGACCCAGAGCAGTTTAAACAACAAAAGCTAAAATGTCACTTTGGGGTGGATGATTCCCTTTCCATTTGTCACCCTGACTCCTGCCTACCGTCCAGGGCGATGGCAAGAGGGGACAAGCCCACGTGACCAGCACTTTGTGCCGCTCGAGACGAGGCCAGGAGCAAGGAGCACCGGCTGTCACCAGGCGTGTGGGCCCCTCGTGCCCCCCATGCTCTCCCCTCACACCCTGTCCCGTTGGGCTTAACGGCAGCAAGGTGGACTTGGGCGGGGCCGGACGGCCGTGGGAAGAACGTCAGTCAGCCGCTTCTGTGACCCAGCGGCCACTGGTTAGGAGAAGTTCAGGGACCTCTGAGCGCATGAGGCTTGCAGGCCCTTGGTCTCCTCTGGTATCATCGTGTCTCATGACTCAACCCACAGCCGCCACGTCAACAGGACCTAGGATGACCCTTGACCGTGTCCACTGAAGGTCTGTGTTGTGCGGCCTCCTGGAACCACAGCTGTGGACGTCAGGAGAGAGCTGAGAGGCCCCCTGGCCTCCCCTCAGCCCTCTGACCCCCCTCCCCCCACCTCAGTTCCCACGCCCCGGGCGTCCTTTCAGCTGAAGCTCACACCTGGGACCTGGTATCTGTTCAACAAATTCATCCTCGTGTGCACGGCCCATCTTAGGCAGCATCTAAATGGCACATCTTTTGGTATCCCTCCAATAAAATCCAATACTTCGGGCAGAATGGATGCTCAATACGGGAGTCAGAGAGGTAAACAGAGCGACTCTACAAACAAAGAAACTACGAGATTTACACTGACGGAAAGCTGGCCACGTGGGTGTAATATGCGAGGAAAACTAGAGCCCGGTCGTCACGTTTAAAAAGAGCAAGTATCCATCATTCAGCTTCTAACTTCTCCTTAAAGTGCTGCCTGGCTCTTCTAAACCGGTGCTCAGGAAACATCACTGCTGCAAAACCTCACTCGTCCAGACAGTGTCCCAGTCAGACGGCCCCTTGTGCCCCCTCATACTGAGATCAGTTAGTTATGTGTTTATCTCCGTGATTACTCGCTTCAGGCCTCTTTTGTTCCGAGATCGGAAGTGCTGGGAGGGCAGGGACTGTCTCGGTCACTACCGCACACCGTGTGCTCACACGGCCCTGACAAACAGAGCTGCCCAGAAACTACGAGGAAAGAATGGTCAGTTAGGATGGGCTGGAAGCTGGAACTGGAGAAATGGAGCATTACAGCAAAGTGTAGCTTTATTACTTTAGCCCCAGGAAAGAGCTGATCTCGAGTCCATAAATGTCTGGCTGCACGTTATACCCCGTCTGGCATGGGACGGCGGCCTGTGCATACATTCCAGCTCAAAAGCGCTGCAAAGGAATTTGAGAGAGCTTCATGGGATCAAAGAGAGACTTTGTTTTTCATCTTGAAGGAACCTCAGGGATCATCTCAAACCCCTGCAAAGTCTTTTATTAAAAGCAGTAGAAATGTAAAACATTTCCCCCAATTCAAATGACCACAGGCCTGATGGAAGAGCCCGAAGGAAGGAGGCTGAGCTGGATGTGACACAGGGCGGTTCCCGGGGAGAGCGAGGCTGCGCACGGCGCATGCGGGGTGAATCTGCATCTTACCGCAGGTCGGGACGTCCTCCTCAGCTGAGGAGGTCTGCTCGTCCGTCGACGGCTTCTTCTTCCCCAGACCGATGATCTTGGTGATTTTCTTCCCAGTGACTTTCGATACGGTGCCCTTGCCCTCGGATTTGGAACTTTTTTTCCTCTTAACTGTCAAGAATAACAATGACAACAAAAATCATGTTTTAATTATAGACTTTAATTGGAGAAACATCAAAATAAACCATAAGACATAGCCAATTTTCTTTCACCCAAGTTTACTTACTGAGCACCTGCTATGTGCCAGCTATTGGGGTCACTGGTTAGCATCATTGGAATATTTATCCAATAAGCCTACCGACAGAGCCATTACACACAATTAAACTTCAATGTGTGCAGTGCTAGATGGGGACAGTCGGAGCTTCCATGTGGATTGGTACCAAGACCCGACGCCCTTTACTGACAACAGTGGCAGTATCAGTAGGGTGTTTATTAACCCACTGAAACTCACACTGCATTGGTTTAATAAATACTGGGGATTGTCACCTTGTGAGAAGAAACAAGCTTTATAGTCATTGCCTGTGGCTTTGGCCACATGGGGTCTGGATTGTTTCTATGTTCAATGGAGTGTCAACATTTAGGAGCAGTTGTGTGAGTCCAGGATTTTCTCTGTGTGGCCAGGGAACTGTACTGAAACCCCTCGGCTGCAAACTGGTCAAGAATGAGAAGCAGGATAAAAGCTAAGAGAGAAGGTCAGGATGTGTGTAAATGATTAACTTCCTTAGGAACAATTTATTGAGTGTCTACTATATACAAAGCACCATGCCAGGCAAAAGAATGTTTGAACCAAGGTCACCTTTACAAAGCACAGAAGGCTGCTCTTGTTTTTTAAAAAGGAGGATTTTAGATATAGATATATTCACTTACATGTACACCCAGAGACATTCATCCTGTAGAACCTAATTTTATACAGAGATGCGGGGGGGCTGGGAACAGTAAACAAGGAAAGAGACCAACCAAACCAACGTCTGCACCTCAACACTGAGGCAGCAACCCGGAGATTGTAGGTTAGCCTACTTCAGGGAAGAACTTAAAGATAGCTTTCTGGCTTTGATTACACACCCCGTGCCCTGTGGATGACAGATAATACCTTCCACTGAGTAGCTTCCGATGGAGAGGACTAAAATTATACTCAGACACAACGGGGTTAGAAGATCATGCAGACAAAAGCAGAGACCATGAACTTTCGGAGTGAACCTTGTAATATCATAATCATCCAGATGATTTGGGTTCCAAGAGTCTTAACGGCCTGGGTCGCTCTTTGGTTTAAGGTGACTTTTCCAGAGCTGGGAGATGCCTGTTCCACACTCGTGACAGAGTGAAGGTTAGCAGGGTGGGCAGTCAGTCACCCAGGAAGCCGAGGTTCGAGCACAGCAGCTACTGAGCTTTGCACGGAGAAGCCTTCCCTGCTACCCAAAACCCCACCCCTCCTCTCAGCCCACACACCGTGAAGGAAATTATGTGCAGAACAGATAAAGCACTTGTATGCAGAATACTCGTATATAAAGAACTCTCAGACATCAATAAGACAAACAACCCAAGAAAAATATGGGCAAAAGATGTAAATAAGCATTTCACCATAGATAATACCAGGATGGCAAATAAGCCTATTAAAATACGGTCAACATTGTTAGTCATTAGGCAAACACAAGTTAAAGCCACAATTACATAACACTACACACCTATCCAAATGGCCAGCATGAAAAGAATGACACAAAACAAAATGACAACACCAAGGCTGGTGAGGATGCACATGACCGAGGAATCCCACTCTAGGTATTCTGCCAAGAGAAATGAAAGCGTGTTCATGCAAAAACCTGACCATGAATGGCCGCAACAGCTTAACTCACAATCACTCTAAGCTGTCCACAGCCCAGTGAGCTGGTGAAGGATGAGCTCACTGGTGCATCCACACGCTACCATACTGCTCGGACGTAAAGGAGCAGACTGCTGAGCATGCGACAACTGTGAGGAGTCTCAAATGCATTAGGCTCCGCCAACGAAGCCAGGCCCAGAAGGCTACACCATCAGTCCACTCACAGGCCACTCTGGTAAAGGACAGAGGACAGCTCAGTGGTGGGCAGGGGCAGGGGGAGAGGCAAAGAGGGAGTTGACACAAAGGGAAAAAGGGAACGTTTGGGGGTAAAAGAAATGTTCCACGTCTTGATTGTGGCGAGAGTTACATGCCAATAAGAGTTCGTCAAACTCAAAGAACTGCATGCCCAAAAGGGAGCATATGTAACGTATGCTCCCATAAAGCGACTTCAAAAACAGAATTTGGCATTTACACACCCATGTTCATAGCAGTGTTATTCCCAGTAGCCAAAAGGTGGACACAGCCCAAGTGTCCATCAATAGATGAGTGACGATAGAATGTGGTCCATCCATGCAATGGAATATTATTCAGCCTTAAAAGGACATTCTGACACCTGCTACAACATGGATGAAGCTAGAGGACATTAGGCTCAGCGAAATAAGCCAGTGACACAAGGGCAAATACTGTGATTCCACTTAATGAGGTCCTCAGAGGAGTTGGATTCATAGAAACAGAAAGAATGGTGGTGCCTGGGGCTGTGGAGTGGGGAGTTAGTGTTTCATGGGGACAGAGTTTCAGTTTGGGAAGATGACAAAGTTCTGGAGATGGTGGTGGTGATGGCTGCATGACATCATAAATACACTTAATGCCACTGAACTGGTCACGAAAAATGGTTAAGATGGTAAATTTTGGGTTATGTGTATTTTTACAATTAAAAAAAAAATTTAATGAAGGTAAAATATATTTTCAGAGAATCTTTTTTCCCCCCCAAAGGTTTTATTGGGCAATTGGGGGAGGGGAACAGCGTTGGGGAATCAGGGGAGGGGAACAGACAAGTTGTTTTCGTTTTGTTCTTCAGCCTAGTTGTGGAGGATGTTGCTTCGCTAGCCCATGTTGGTATTATCATTGTGCTCTTCCCAGCTGAGGCAGATCGGTCGCGGACACTGGATGGCCGCTCACAGTGGCTCTTGGGAGCTCACACTGGCTGCCAGCCGCTCACTCTGGCTGCAAGTCACTCATGGTAGCTTATGGCAGCCCACTGCAGCAGGGGCTGCAGTCTACGCCATCGCCGGCGACTCATGGCAGTTCAGCTCCAGGTCGAACTGTTGTTCACCGTTCACCATCTTAGCTGTAGAGGGTACAGCGTCACTGGCCCTAATGTGGGATCCGAACTGGGGCCCTGCTGTTCAGAGCTGACGTTCCAAGCCAACTCTTAACCAACGCGCCACTCGGCAGGCCCCAGGAAATCTTTTTTAAAAAGACTTCAGAAATCTGCGAGTCTGGGCTCCTCATTTTAAAGATGTGGAAACAGGCTCATCAAAGGGAAAATTTGCTCAAGGTTAAGCAAAGGCAGCAATGCGACAGGCACGCAAGTTCTTGTCTCATCATCTAAAGCTCTTTCGCTGAAAGTCAGCTCTCCCAGCAAGATGCCAGCGGGTCCCCACTGTAAATTCATCTCTGTGATAAGTCAAGTCAGGAAATAACCTGCTGTGAATAAATTCAAAATATATGCAGGGCACCTATAAAAACAGTAGGGAAAATCTAGGCCCACATTCTGTAGGTTGGCAAATGAAGGGGTTTTCTTTGGATTTCTATCAGTGTAATACAGGACAATGACATCTGCATGACTGAATTACCAAGGAGATTTTTCACATAATCAGAATTTACAGAACTGGCCGTGGTGTTTCAGATTTTGGTTTTTTGTTTTCAGTTTATGCATTTTTGGCACAAGCAGAACTCACCCTGTTCTTTCCCGTTACATGCAGTGATTCCATTTTCTATGGCACCCTCCCCATCTGAGCTCGGTCTCTCTGAGGACAGTTTCTGGAAGGATAAGAAGGATTGAGTTATCTCACTGTGGTCACACTGGCCAAGTGATGCATCATGAATCAATCAAAAGTTATCTCAAAGCTGAAAGAAAATGTGGGCCAAACGCACAACAATCCAGGAGAGCTAGGGCTCAACTATAACACAGACTTGCTGGCTGGCTTGTTATCAAAAGCTTGAAAAACATCAAAAGAACAAAGAAAAAACTCAGAGGTTATACAAACACCCACTACAGTACCATGCCTATTCCTTCAAATCACTCTTTCTTACAAATAATTTTGAAAAAAATATTAGGATCACAAAAAATGATTCCCCCTTACCAAGCCGTGTTACGCTTCCAGAAAGAAATACCATAAATGGGTTATTTCATTTCCTCCTGTCATTTACCAATAATTGGGTGAGTGTCAAGTATCTGCTTGTAACAAAAATACTTAGCATGTGCACACAGACGAGTTACTGTTAAACCCACCAATGGGCCCTAGAGTGCTTGCAATTACTTTAGTCCTTGAATCTGGATTTCAAGAGCATAAGTAGGACTCTAAGTTGGTGTCTAAGGAGACATTGTTCAGAGCTGGAATCCTTTCATTCACTCCCACCAGAGAACCGGTGGGGTCACAGCGGAGGACATGGGCTCCAAAATGCGCCTCCTCAGACCCTCTGCGTTACATCCCAGTGCCACAGAGACTGGCCAGCGGGGAGAGAAACAAAGTACTGGGCAATCCCAGGGCACCGGGAGCACACAGGCTCCACTCAGTGTGAGGTCCGGGCAATGCTGGCAGGGATGGCAGACAGGTGTTTGCAATCCCGCAGCGGGGCTGGGAGGCGTCGCATGAAAGCATTAGTGGCATTCACTGGGAACCCAGTGTGTGCCAAGTTCCAGTGACAGAGCGACCGAGAGCCAGTGCTGCCCCAGTTCTCAGGCAGGGAAGTGCTCCTGGGAACCAGGTCAACAGGTCTGGCCAGGCACAGCACAACCTTAGAAACCAAGATAAGTGAGGGACAGCTGCCAGTCCCATGTGAGTGGGGGAAAAGGGGAGCTCTGATGCACTGCTGGTGGGAACTGAAAGCGGACCAACCTTTCTGGAAAGCAATTTGCTTAGCAACATGAATCAGAATCTTTACAAAAAAATTCTGTCATTTGGTCTAGTAATCCAGCTTCTAGGGGTCTATTCTCAGGTAACAGAGGAGCAACCAAGACTTACCCAAAAGATGCCAGGTTATTTTAAATGACCAAGAAAAAAGCCTAATTCGGCCAGAGTGGGGTGGGGTAATATAAATGATAGTAGAGCCATACAAATTTGATATTACTCAGCTGATGAAAATACAAAAACACATTACTTGTTATAAGTTTTCAAAAACCTAGAAAACTGGTAATAATATAAAGGTAGGTGGGAATAAAGCAGCATAAAAATTTTTATACCATCAGATTATCCAAGAAACATGAAAAAAACGGGTGTTGAGCGGAGCTGTCTCCTCTATATGGTGGGCTCATGGGTGACTTTATTCCTCCTACTGGTGTTTCCCTGAACTTTTTAAATTTTCCACAGCAAGCAAGGATTAGTTTTGTAATCAGGAAAAAAAGAAACATGACTGCAACATCAGGGTGAGGGTTGTGAGGTTAATTTCATGTGTCAACTTGGAGGGTGTGTTTGGATGAGACTAACATTTAAATCAGTGAACTCTGAGTAAAGCAGACTGCCCTCCCTAATGTGGTGGGCCACGCCCAATCAGCTGAAGGCCTGACTAGAACAAAAAGATCAGCCTCCCCAAGCACGGGCGAACTCTCCAGCAAACGGCCTTCCACCTTCATCTGCTGGCCCACACTGCAGATTTTGGACTTGCCAGCCTCCATCATCACATGCGCCAATTCCTTATTATAAACCTTATACATAAATAAATTCCTTACATAAATCACACACACACACACACACACACACACACATATACACACACATGCACACCACACCCTGTTGGTTCCGTTTCTCTGCAGAAACCTGACTGAAACAAGAAGAGACAAAAGGGATCTGTGCACTGTCGATGGCTAAACAGGGAGGACTCAGAAGTTCCTGGGACACAGGCTACCTACAGAACACTACATGGCAGGAAGCCAGGAAGCGCTACAGAAACGAAAACTTTGTAAGCACAGACAAATAAAGCGCAATCAGAGGGAGCTGGGTGTGTATCACGGCAGGGGGCTCACCCCTGCCCCCACTGCTGCCTTCTCACTGTGCCTTTCTACAAGTAAAATGAGTAGAGGAACAGGGGCTATCTCCTGGTCTGCTGGGAATAAGGCTTCGGGAAGGTACAAGTTTCAAAACTGCACAGCCCGGAAAGCAGATTTCACTCTGCCATGTAAGAGCGGGGCGACCGTGAGCAAGGCCCTGACACCTCTAAGTCCAGTTCCTCAACTGTAGCTGAAAATAATGAAAAGAGCCACGCAGCCTGGAAAGTGACTAACTCCAGCTTCCTAAAAAGTGAGCCCGTGAAAGGCATAGGAAGCAGGATGGCATTCTTTTTTCTTTCTTTTTCATCTAGAAGTGCTAGAATTCTAAGAAAATGTTATCAAAACTTTGAGGGAGGCCTACATCCTCTGTAAGGCTGCTGTTCCCAGAAAGAATGCGCCCCTTACCTTCTCCAGCTCTGCCTTGTGCACCGGGGAGCTTGACGGGGGCGGACATTCGGAATCCACGGGCCCACTGCAGCCGCTGTAGACTTCTTTGATCACCTGGAATAAGGGTCGACATTTTTGAGTATGTCCACAGGCAGAGATGCTGACAGAGGGGCCGCAGCTGGGGATGGAGAGAGGCACGTGGTGCGGCAGGAAAGCCCGTGGGGTCCAAAGCCCCTGGCTTAACTTCCAGGATGCCAGGCACTCTGTTCACTCACTCGCTCATCCACTCCCTGAATGTCTACCCACTGCTGGTGCTGACATGCATTCTGGGACAAGAGGGAAAACATATGTGACGGGCCTGCTCTCACAGGGCTTCCACCCCAGTGAGACTGAGACACGGTAAACAATGTGAATCACAGGGGTACGATGGTAATGTAAGACAGCAGGAAGTGCTACAAAGAATGAAGGTAGTCTTTAACAAAATGGCGTGGTTGATTTAGACTGAGAGATCGAGAGGCCTTACTGGGGTGACACGTAAGCTGCGCGCTGAATGGCCAGAAAGATCCGGCATGTCAAGAGCTGTGGAAAGGGTTCTAGGCCTGTGCTGGACATGGAATGTGTAGGGACAACGCAGAGTGCCATGTGGCAGGGGACGGAGTGGCAGGGCCAGCAGGAGCGAGGTCACGGGGTGCCTCCAGGCCCGGTGAGGAGACTGGATTTTATAAAGCTGCATGAGGAAGGCTGGGAGCACCTTCCTGGGGAGCCACACAGCACAGAGGTCAGGAGCATGGGCTCGGGGCTTTCATCCTGGCTCTCACCTGGGCCTAATCAATGAGCTGCTCTGTGCTTCAGTTTTCTCATCTGAAAAGTGCAGATGCAATAGTCCCACCTTTTAAAAATGAAATGCCTAAATCATAACGATGAACATTCAGTTATTACAAGGCTGTAGACAGCACTCTCACTGCTGTGAGAGAGAAGGACCAGGTGCCAGGAAACGAGCTGGAGCTGCGGATGAAGACGGTGGCATGTGGGCGGCAGTGATCGCAGTGCGGAAGGAGTGAATGTGTCCTGGAGGGAGACCCGACAGGCCCCGCTGATAGACCGGGTGTGGGGCGTGAGGGAAAGGGCCAAGTCCAAGGGAGGGCCTGGACTCCATTCCTGGAGGCCGGGTGATGCCATCCACTCAGGTGGAGGAGACGGAGAGAGAGCTTGGGTGGAAGAGAAGTGAGGTGGGTACGTCCAGAGGCCAATTTCTAGTCAGAGCCAGAGAAAACGCAAAAGGCTGATGCTCACGCTGGATGGGATGAGTCACCAGCAGGGCGGGTAAGAGGAAACAAGACAGAGATCCAGGAGAAAGAGCGAAGGCCAGTCAGCACGTGACCTGGGGAGGCCTGAGCCGGGCGGGCTGGACAGGGAGTGGGGCGCAAACCAGAAGAGCACCTCCAAGGAGCAGGGGGGCTCTCTGTTGGGAGTGGTAGAGAGCACGCCTGGAGGGGGCACCTGGGCAGGAGATGAGCAAAGCAAAAGGAATTTTTCAGGGGCGGGAGGGGGGCTGGGATCTAGTGGAGGGGGGACGGACAGAGACGGACGGACGCAGAGGGCTAGGGCACTGGGTGGTGGGAGTCCCAGGACGCTCCGCTCTGACCGCTTCTGTTTCTCAGCGATTGGTGAGGCAAGCGTTGGGTTGTTGGAAAAGTCCTGACGTATTTTTTGTGTTTTTCGTTGCAAAAATGCGTCATGACTTTTCCGACAACCCGATACATCCATTACTAGCTGAAAGTCATGACCACTCTCAGCCTCAGTCCCTTCACTAGCAAAGGAAGGAACGTCAAGATGACCTGTCTTGCTATTTAGCTGTGTGGTTGGATTAGGAGAAAATGAGGCCTGTGTGCACAGAGCCCAGACCAGCATCGGCAGGTGGAGGTTCACGACAGTGGCTTGCTGTCACACCAACACCGTCACCCTGCGAGCACCCCATGATTTGGAGCGAGAGCCTACACGTATAGATGTGAGGGTCTGAGGCATGCAGGCAGCGATCCTTGGCACTACTGGCATTCACAGCCACCCCTATGGTCACCCACCATCCCGTCCATCGTTACTGGGCTCCTACATTGAGCTGGGCACGGTTCTGATCACTGGGGATAAGACTGACAAGGTCCCCAGGTCAGTGGAACTTACATTCTTATCATGGAAAGGTTAGCAAGCTAATCTTTCAAAATGTCTTCTATTCTTTTTGGAATGAAGCTGCAGTTTGAGTTCAACCCAATGCCTACTGGGCAGAAAAGAAATGTCCCAGTCCCAGATATCTGTGGAGTAATTTTGCAATATGATCTCAACAGACACATCCACACTCATGTGGCTCACACTGGTGTTGGGGTTAGAGCCAGGGGCTGACAGACCAGTAATTCCAGTCATTTTGCTGCTCAGCTGTTATGAAAAAAATGAAGCGATGTCCACATTTGAGACTAGAACAGGGAAAAAGAAAGAAAAAAACCTAGAGCACTGGCTGTAATGTTTTTGTCCGTGTTGATTCTGGGGTGTGAAAGCATAAACAAAGGTGACATCAACCCAGGGGTCGTGCCTTCTGAATGTGTCAAAGGGGGAAATGCTCACTTCTCTCTCAGCTTCCATTTCCTGCTGATCTCAGTGTCGTAGGGTCTTTATTCCCTCACCTCCCCCAATGCGTTTATCAAATCTTTAGCTGACAAGGCAAATTTTTATTTGATCTCAAGACAAGACTTTGTCTTGTCTCTAGGGAAAGAGTATAATGCAATGGGAAATCCCAGGCTTTTGTGTCTGAAACTGGGGTGTAAGCCCCAATTCTACCACTTCCTCCATACATGAGGCTCAGCAATCTAGACTTTGAGCCTTCCTTCCCTCTTCCAGAAAATGCACAAAAAACACCTGCGGTGGGGTACGGGGAGTATCACTGGGAAGATGAAATGATCAAGTGTCCAGCCTAGTACTTCTCCCAGAACAGCCAGTAAGTAAACTGTGTCCTTTTCCTGTGATTATAGTATTCAATAAATGAAAAACGTGTTTCAATTATACAAACCTAAGACTGAGCCCCACAAAGCATAACCTACGGAAACCTGTCTATAAAGCTTTTACTCAAGAACCAGCTGTCTTCTTTTTTCTCCTTTTTCTTTCTTTCTTTAAAAGCCCTTTGACAGTACTGCTCCAATGACTGCTACAGCCTCCTGGGTGTGGTTATGTGCTTGCTGACTTCGGAGGTCGGCTGCTTTCTCTCTAGCAAAACAGGACCCCCTAGGTCTCCCGTGACCAGGAAGCCTGCTCTGATCTCCCACCCGGGGCACGTGGTACAGCTACCCCTCTACACAGGCCATGGACAGCCATGCCTTCCTGTCAGACACTGGTCACGGGCATTGTACATTTACAGGTCTCTACCTTCTATTAAGCTGTGCTCATTTTCATAAAAGGAACTACACCGTCTTACGTTGGTACTCCCATGCCTAGCACATAATGGCAACTCAAAATAAGTTTGATTAAAGAAAAAAAAAAGGAGTAAATGAAGAAATAAACTGGACTTGAAATTGTCTATGGAAAACAATGAATGAAAAACAGAAGGGAAAAAACCAGGCTGTCAAATAAAATAAGCAAATCCTCATGATAAAGTTTCCCTAGTCCTCTGCAGATTTCTGAAATTCTCAGGGGAAAAAAATGTTTTTTAAAAGAGGAAGCATGTAGGTAAAATCCACGCCTGTAGCACCAACATACCCCACCCTGGCTCACTTCCTCACACTCTCTCCTGGTCACTGCAATGTCCTCTTGGCTCTCCCTGTTCCCTATCAGGTCCTGTTTTGCCAGCAAACAAAGGTGCAGGGAGCTGAGTGATCACTGAAGTTGCCAGGTGAAATTACCTACCACTGAAGCTAACTCACACCATCACCTTTTCAGAGAAGCCTTTCCTAATAAGCCCAACCTGTGTGTCTTAATGCTTCAATAAATTACACAGGTTTGCTTTCTATGAATTTCCCCTGCTAGAACTTACATTTCTAGCGGAGAGCACAGTGTCCCCACCGTGCTTAGGAAAGAGATGGTCACTCAGAGACCAGGAGACCCTGACACCCCCGGGGCCAGGCTAGGGCATGGCACCCCGACACCATGACGTGATGTCTTCCCCCAGACTAGACAATAGTTATGTCCCAGGTACAGAGAAAGGCACTGTGCAGACACCAGTGAGCATAAACCAGTCTCTACAGCCATGGTTTTTATCAACCAGCCAGTTGGAGTATTTCAGGTTATTTTCATGAAACTGTCCTTCTATTCTGATCTCTACTTACGGCCACACTGCCCCTGCAGAGTTAATTAAGAAGTAATAAATAAAGGATTTATCACCCAAATTCTTTGAACAGCTGCAAATGAGGTTTTTGTGTCAACATATTTCATTTTAAAGAGCCATGTTCTATGAGAAGTTCAGTATGTATTTAAGAGAACTGGATCCAAATTCAGAATCACAGATTCTTCAAAAAACAAATTATTATATGTTCTGTGGTATTTCTGTTTGCTTTTAACTCGAGCTCTCATCTCCAGAAACACAATCTCTGCACATTTTTTAAGGAAACCTGACCACTCCATTTCTGGGAATACTGGCTCTTGTCTTCTGACTGACCCCTACAAAATGGCTCATGTTTTTGGCATCTGTAACACACACACACACACACACACACACACACACACACACACACACACACACACATACACACACACTCAGTTAATTTTGGCAAGAGCTGCTAGTAATGGAAGTTGCTGGCCAAAATGAGAGAAACAAATTTGGCATGATTCTTGAAGAAGTGTATGCCATGCCATGTTTCTCATACCTGACAAAGGTGTGTGTCTTACTTAAAAGATACCTGTGACATTACAGCAGTGTTTCAAAATATGGAAAGTCTCAATAATAAGTTTACGACAATATGGGATAATAGCAGTTTATGTCAATTTTTAAAGAGGTTCACAGACTAAATTTAAGAACTAATACTAATGTAAAACTATTAGAAGAAAACATAGGTGCAAATCTTGAGGACCTTGGATGAAACAACAGTTTCTTAGATATGACACAAAAAGCAATAGAAAGGAACGAAATACTGAGACATTTTACAATATGGATGAACCTCGAAAACATTATGCTCAGTGAAAGAAGCCAGTCACAGAAGGACACATATCGTATGAGTGTATTTATATGAAATGTTGAGAATAGGCCAACCTACAGGGACAAAAAGCAAACGAGTGGTTGCCTGGGGCTAGGACTGGGGGGTAGGGGGGGCGGGGGGTTGCGGGGGGGCAATGACTGTTGGCATAGTGAGTACACAGTTTCTGTCTGGGGTGATGAGAATGTTCTGGAATTAGATGGTGCTGATGGTTACACAACTGAATATACTAAAAATCACTGAACCACACCTTAGAAGGGTCAACTGTATGGTATGCGAATTGCACCTCAATGAAGCTGTTATACAAAAACTGTTGAAATAATTATTTTCCAAATATAATGACCTGCATGACCATCAGATAACCTGACACACAAGACAGCAAAATGAAATGAACAAGAACAAGAACAACAGGTAACAGAATCGGGTCCGCCACACTCTACCAAAGCCACTGTCAAAGCAAGCATGCCTGTTACGTGCTTGTTATGGAGATAAAAAGCCAAACAACATCCCTAAAAGAATCAACTGAAAATTCTAGAATGAAAACTGCCATAACCAAAATTAAGAACCTACTGAACAGGAATGAATTTAACAGCAGATCAGGCACAGCTAAACAGAGAAATAGTGAGCTGGAAATTAACGAGAAAAAATTAACCAGACTAAAGTTTAAAAAATAGAGAGAGTAAATACCAAGAGAAGAGAAGTAGTAGAATATAGTGAAAAAGTCTAACATATATTTAAATGTAGTCAGGGGAAGGGGAGGAAATGGGGCAAAGTTGTATTTTAAGAGAGATGGCTGAAGTTTTCCAAAACTTGGAAAGATGACAATCCACAGATTTCAGAAGCCTATGGAATCCCAAGCAGAATAAATAAAAAAGAATCTACACCCGGTCACAATAATGTGAAACTAGAAAATCAAAGTAAGAGAGAAGGTTCTAGAAGCAGCCTGTGACTGGGAGGCAGATTGCCTTTTGGAGACAAGGGTTAAAGTGATTAGCCTCAAAGTAATCAGAACATCCCTCTACCAAAGACCAGACTATTCAGGTCAATCCATGTTTGCATATGATTGAAAAAAACACAAATTAAAATGAAAACAGATTCCAAAAGAGGTCTGGCAATGGAAAGAGCTCAGAAACAAAACCGACAACTCACCTTCAGCCACTGCTCGGCCTGCTCCTTACTCTGGACTGCCAGGACGAGGGGGTCTGTGCCCGGCTGTGTGATTTTCAACTCGTGTTTCTTCTTTTTGCTGTCTTTCGGGATATACGTGATGCTGCAGCCTTGGAGCAGCAGTTCCATCTGAGGCTGCTGGTCCTTGGAACTTTTATAGCACTGCGTTCAACATGACAAATCACAGTTAGGTCATAAGGAAGTTAAGCAGAAACACTGACAGAAGTCCAGCATAATGGAAGTGGGAGCATCGGCAAGGCATCTGGGGATGCTCCGTGACTGGAAACGGACCTGCAGACTCACTGTACCACGTGCACGTCCCCTCTGTGTACGTGAAAATACACCTACCCATGAATTCAGCAAAGTGTACCGACCACCAGTGACATAACCCAGCAGGAACCAGAAAGTCCCTATGATGATGGAGCATATGTTCAATAAGTTACATGAATATAATTTACTAGGTTTGCCGAAACAACACAGCCCTGATGTGGGCAGACAATAATGCGGATGCTTTCTTGTACGACCTATGTCACTTGGTATCTGCCTGTCTCATCTCTATCCTCTTTCTGAAAGTCACATGAATGATTTAATTCACAGTATAACTACCAACATATAATATGCAAAAATGTCTGCAAAGGTTTGCTTTCTAATTGACCAGAGGCTCCTAAGCTCATGTTCCTCCACTTACACAACTGCACTAAAGCTTTTGATGCTGTGGTTAAAACAGAGATCTAGTTCTCTAGATCTTTCTTGCTTAACTAGATCAGTAAAACCTAGATCAAATCTTTGTCCAGAGGACCCCCCACACACACACACACACACACACACTGGTTGTTTAATTGCATTACTGGGGACCAGAAGCATACCTCTTCATAAAAATGCACGGTCTAGGGGTTCAGGTGTCGGGTCCTGGCTCTGTTACTAATTTAATCTTGGTCCCGGGGAGTTTTGTAAGTTTTCTGAGCCTGTTTCCTCATTTGTAAAGTGAGTTATTGTTATCTTCTTGAATTACATTCAATTATTAGTAACAATAACACGTGCTACCAAGTATTGGGTGTCAACATTACAGGAGGCATTTCATACGTCTATCTCATTTAGTTATCCCAGATGTGTGTCTGCAGATTGCGACAGCTTGGGCAAGTAAGCTGAGTAACCGGCCACTTTGGTTAAGTACCACGCCCCACACCAGGCACCCTGAACGGGGTAGACCCCGGACTCCAGCCCAAAACCATATGCGGCCTGCACGCCTGACGCTAAGCCATCTGTTGATGAAGGAATGAAGGAATGGACACCTATTTTCACAAGTGATTATTACAGCTCCAAAACCATGCCTCTGGAATAACACATGGATAGGAATATATATGTTTTTTTAAAAATTTCATCAAATGGTTTCCATGTCTAAAAAGGAAGGGGGGGAAAAAAAGTACACCAAAACCAACTAACCTCAGATTGCTATGAATGTTTTATCATTTACCAGATTTTTCACATTCTGAGTAAGTAAAAAGAAAGAAAAACAGTACGGTGGAAGGAATCAGAAATTTTATAGCTTGTCTTTTCCCTAAGTCGAACACCCCAGGATGGGTGTGTCATCAGCACCTGACCGACTGCAAGCTGCAGGTCCTGCAGCTCTGAAACAGCAGCACGCAGCACGTTTACTGGGTGCGCCCTGAGAGCAACACCTGTAGGAGGCAGGAAGGTGCAGGACGCAGGGCTGCGCAGGGGAAGACGCTAAGCGGCAACGAGTTCATTAAAAGGCCTTGGCATGAGGCTCTGGAGCCGGAACGCACCATCAGGGTTGTCCCATGAGGTTGGCCTTCGCCTCCGGGCATCACATCGGATGCACACCCCCTGGGATGGGAGCGTGAGCTTGGACAAGCTGTCTGCCAGGAGCCCTCCCTACAAGCGAGGGACAAGGTCCTTCAGTCCTGAAGGGATGTGATGTGGGCACATCACAGCGTCCACCACAGAGCTGCCTGGGCATAGAAAGGAGCCGGTTCTGGAAGGATGTACACAAGCTGGTAATGGTGGCGCCTGTGGGGAGACAGACTGGGGACATTCGGGGGGGAGCCCAGCATTTTGTTTTCCACCTATGGCTTCTGTACTGTTTAAACTGGGAAAGCGTTTGCTGCTATTGTCATGGCTGCTTTTTTTTTTTTTCCAATGTCAACAGGGGTCATCTGGGCAGTTGGATCATAAGCCATTTTTGAACCAAAGGAAAAAAAAACACAAAAAACTTCATAATAAAAATAACTTTGGGGCCAGCCGAGTGGCGCGATGGTTAAGAACTGGCTTGGGATGCCAGAGGGCCCCGGTTCGGACCCCACATATGAGGGCCAGTGACACTGCCCTCCAC